CACCAGGAGATAAAAGCAGAGGCTCCTGGAGGTGAGGAGGTCTCAGAGTAGCCCTGCACCTTCCTAAACCTTTCAGACCCTCTTGCTGGGGCAGAAGATACCACACTGGACCCGGCAGGAAGAAGCTCCAGGCTTCAGTGAGGCTATGAAAGAGGACAGGGCAGAGCAGGGAAGGAGGTCACCTAGTAGTGTCCCGTTTAAGAGGCCAAAGCCCACAGCTGAGAGTTATTTTAGAATTTGGTATGTCACATGGTACAGTATCTCCTGGGGTGGGGGTGTCGGGAATTAGGCTAATTATGTCTCCAGGCAGGTGTTCCCCTAGTTAGGAGAACATGGAAATTGGTAGCAAAGTTGCTGTGGAAACTATAGACCCAGACAGGGCAGGACAGGACAGGACAGGACAGGACAGGGCAGGACAGAGCGTGAGCAGTGGAGGCTTCAAACCATCCTCCTTGAAGCCTGTGTGCTCTGTTTTCAGTGTGAAAGCAAGAAGTAGGACGGAGGTTAGGCAGGGCATTTAGGTCCCATTTCATAAGGCGTACAGGGGATCTGGGTCAGCTCATCTAGAACCCCCTCCTCAGTTTACAGATGAGGAAGCAGAGCTGGAGATGTGAAGAGACCTAAGAGCAGGCATCACAGGGCACACTTGGCGTCCATCGTCTACCTACCTTTCCGTACTTGTACTTCCAGGTAATGTTAAGCAGATCCCTTCCCTGGGGGACAGTTTCCTGTGCAGGTGATTAGCAGGGCTAGTTTGATTGGGCTTTTACAGGAGAAACAGTGGTACCTTCTTGGTCTTTATCAGAAAACCTCCTGCCATACAGTAATCTTACAAGGCTTAAGGTTCCTGAAATTAGGTTTAGATGGTTATCTACTAATAATCTGGGAAATTCAGGGGTCCTATTCCCTCCCAGGGCCAAAGATGGGACTTAGGTCTGACTTCTCACGAGTAACTGGGGTCCTACTGTTTCAATTATTAGTTTTACAAGCTGTTGACTATGAGGGAAGAGTTCATCCCTAATGTTCTTCAAGACTGCTATTATCTAACAAGTAGCTAACATAGGAAGTCCATTTCCCCCTGGGGCAATGGGATTATTCACCAGAAACACTAAGATTCTGGACTTTTCTTACCTTCTCAGTGAAGGTTAGTTACATACTCTCCTATAGGAACTTCTCTTGTGAAATTGACGCCTCATAGAAACTATAAAATTCCTCCTTCCTCCCTTCCTCCTTTCCTCCTTTCTTTCCTTCCTTCCTTCCTTCCTTCCTCCTTCTTTCCTTCCTTCCTTCCCTCCTTCCTTTCTTCCTTCCTTCCTTCCCTCCCTCCCTTCCTCCTTCCTTCCTTCCTTCCTGCCTTAATTCCTTCCTTTTTTTCTTTCTTCCTTTGTGCTGGGGATTGAATTTGGGTCCTGCATATGCTAAACATATGCTCTAACACTGAGCTACACCCCAAGCCCCATCAACTTTGTTCTTAAGAAAGAAAATTTCCAAGCTGTCCTAGATGTAATTAAAAAGTCCAGAAGGTAGAAGGGAGGAGAGATCAGTAAACTAGCTATAGGCTCACAACAAAAGGTCATTTTACAATCCTGAGTGTCAAACCTTTACTCAGTTCCCATCATAACTGTAAGCATCAGCTTAACTCTAATCAATCCAGAAGCAACAATTACTTCTATGGACTGCTGTTATTTCTAAAGTTTTCTGTGCTTCACACAACCTACTGTTCTCTTCAGGGCCCAAATATTCAGTATAAACAACTATTCCTTCTTTTCCCAAATTTTTGTTATTAAAGAAAAAATGCTTCTAGCCTTGGAACAGCAGACATTTTCTAGCTGCTGACTAGACCTCAGACTGGTAGGTTGAGGAATGTGTCCAGCCTAGTGCTACTTTTGACTAACATCTGGAAACATTCGATAAACCCTTTTATTTCACAGATCCCTTGATCTCAAGAGTTTTGCTTAGCAATACTCATCCATGAGCCTTTCCTCTTTGACTCAGAATTTACTCAGCTGCCAATGGAGGAATTGGAAGTTAGTCCGAAAAACCTCTTGACTCTGACCCTGAATCCCTTAACAACATAGATCCCTAAACGAATACTTCCTTTTTAGAATGAATACTTTCTAGGCAACAAAAATGCCACCAAAGCCTCGGAGACAAAACCACTCTGATAGTAGCTGATGCTATGATGTTAGCTGAGCAAACACATACTGGACCTCCCACGGGGAATGGGCTGCAGTTGCAGAAAGGCCTGTGAAGAAAAGAGAAAAAAGGTGACTTCTTTCTAATCATGCCTAAGTGTGGCTTTTTTGTAAAACAGTTGAGCTGTTAACTTCTATGCTAAGGCACGTATGCACTTTGGAAAGGTAATTTGAAAGCGAGTTGAGCCATGACAAATAGGGACAGCTGGCCTAATTGAATCATTTGATCTAAGACAGCTCAACTTGGTTATCCTCACTGCAGCCTGCTCTGATATTAGGGAGTGAATCATTAGCCATGAAATCATGTCGCCTTTCCCCACTGCAGCGTTTTTGACATGACAGCAATAGCAGCCTGCCTTTCATTAGAGCCCCAATAAGTTCTGTAGTCTGTCAGGAAAACAGAGCACCTCAGGAAACTTTCAGGGCTCAGCCTCAGAAAGGCATGCTCCCGGTGGCTCACCGAGCATCTCAAAGAAAAGCAAGGTACAAGCTGATGCAGGAAGCGCCCACTTTGGTGCACTGGAGCATCATTGACACTCAGATCTGCTAATGCAGTGTGAGAACAGCTCTACGCATGTAGGAGCTACTGTTCTCTTTGCTGTAACAAAACAGCTGGCAGAAGTGACTTAAGTGGGGGAGGTATTTATTTTTGGCTCAGAATTTTATAGGCTATCGTTCATCGTGCAAGGACGGCATGGCGGCTGGGGCTCCATCTGGGGTGGCAGGAGCTTGTGGTGGAGCTTGTTACATCTTGGCACCTCAAGAAGCGGAGAGCCAGACTGAAAGCAGCTGGTGAGAGTCCTCAAGGTCCATCCTTATGACCCTACATCTGCCAGCCAGGCTCCATGTCCAAAAGGTTCCACAACCTCCCACAACAGCGCCACCAGCTGGGGACCAAGTGTCCAAACACATGAGCTTGTGGGAGATAGTTCATATTCAAGTTGTAATAGCCTGTTTTGTGTTTGTTTGTTTATTTGTTTGTTTGTTTGTTTAGACACTTCTCACTTTGTAGCCTAAGTTGGCCTGGCACGGATTGTGTAGCCTAGGCTGACCTGGAACCTGTGCTCCTCCCTCCTTAGATTCCCGAATACAGGATCATAGGCATGCACTACCAGGCTTCAATTCTACCTATGAGCATCAGTTTGTGATTCACTCAGGAAAGTGGGCTGTAAATGAGGCAATGATAAATATGTTCACACTAAACCTACAGACACCCCTAATGGGAGCCTCTGTGTATGTCACACATTCCTACCAGCTTCAGTTTTGTTTTTGCAAAAGAAATGGCAGGGGCACGTTCATCTTTTCATGGAGTTTGCCAAAATGGAGATGCATCTGAGAGTCAGCAGAAATACAGACTAAACCCTCTGTTTGATACAGCAATGAAGCTTTAAGGAAACATGGTGCACCCTTACCTCAGTCCCTCACAAGTGAGGGACTATAGAGGTGACCTCATTAGCTCCGGGAATCTGTCTGTCTCTGTCTCTCAAGGGCTGGGCTTAAAGGTACAAGCTGTCACATCCAGCTTTTTATGAGTGCTAGGGATCCAAACTCAGGTCCTCATGTTTGTATGGCAAGCTCTTTACCAACTGAAACATCTCATCAGCCACTTGACAACCATTCTTGAAAATTATCTGAAGATGTGACAATGGGGTGACCAGTTCAAGAGTTGGGGATTTACCCTAGTAGAACCCATTTTCCTGCTGTGGAATATTTCTCTAGGCACTCATATTCTGACATAATAAAAGAGCTATATTTCCTCTACCTTTACTTCTAAGTCTTGAGTTCAGCCGGTTTTATTCTCTCAGTAAGCTGTTTCCATATATGTTTTGAGCTTTAAACATGTGAACAGTACAGTAGCAAAGAAACCAACAAGGGCTTAAGACTAACATTTTTCAGGGATGTACAAGCTTTTGATATTGTGCTATGATGTTGTCATCTACAAGCAAGTTGGGCTGTGATCATGGGTCCCCTGGCATGAGTGCAGCCCACGGGCTACAAGTTGGGTAAACCTGATTGTGACTTTTTAAATCTCCTGTATGCTCATATGTAAAAGCTGCATGTTCAGTGTCTGCTTGTATTTCAAAAGTAATTAGTATGAATTGGGTCAACTCAACCATGTTCATTAAATGATGGACAACAAATGACTACATCTCCTTCATATATACACATATATATGCAGTTAAGAAAACTTTTCTATAGCCATATAATTATTAGCTGTTGGCCCAGTTCCCTTGTTCTCCACTTAGATCTTTTTTTAGTTAAAATTCACATCCCTCACACGCAGTACCTAGAGTCCAGTGTGGAGAATATCACTGAATACATGAAGTTCCTGTTCCTCAGACTTGACAGGGCTTCGCCACTGCTGCAGTGAGACCCAGGAGACGTATGGAGGTGAAAGTTGGCTGAGCTGTCAGGAAAGGGCTGGTAGAGAAGATAAAGCTAGACATGGGCTACAGGCATGCCAGATGAAAGAAAAAGGAGGAGAAATGGATCTTCCAGTGGGACCATCAGAAAAGGCAGAACAGCCAAACTACAGCAGTGATTGCCTTGCCTCCTCAGAACCATTTTATTTTCCTCTAAACAAAGAAGAGCCAAGGTTTAGTATCATGGAGAAAGTTTATTCACCAGAATCCCCCCAAAGACAAGCCTGTATTTATTAGAAAGGAATGTCTTGATAAGCAAAAACATACTCAAGGCATTCTATTATTGCTATATGGAACATAACAGACAAATTTACACATTTCACTTTCTATAGCTTCAGCTACTTGTGATTCATTTTGGTCTGAGATTTTTCCCCCAAGTTCATGTCAGATGGGTAATGTACCAATGCATAACAAGGTTTGAGGGCGGCACATGTCACATAACCACATGAACACCCAGTCATCATGCTTGTGAACCAGAAAAGAAACTAATCTGAGATTATTAAATGGAAAATAACAGAAATAAAATATTGATAAATTTGGAATTAGTCACAATTCTGAATAACTGTATGAACCCTCATATTATCCTGCTGTGTTCTATCCAGAACTTGATTCCATTTGTCCAGAGTATCCACACTGTATTTGCTACCCACCCATTAGTTAGTTAGTAATGGTCTCAAGTATCAGATTATCACAGTATAGAGTGCTTATGCTCAAGCAACCTTTATTTTAATTATAAATGGCTCCAAAATGACATTATTTAAATTGTTCTAGTTAAGTATTAGTTATTGCAGTTAATTTTCTACTTAACCTTGTCATGTCAATGTATTTATAGAAGAAAAAAAGGACACATTGTATTCAGTATTATCTGTAGTCTCAGACATGTACTGAGGGGCCCTGAAACAGAGCCTTCATACATAAGCAGAAACTCTTCTATGTCTTCTGTTCTGAGGGAGAGAGGGTAGATCGGTAAGAGAAAGACACCAGAAAGGAGGCAAAGCCACAGTGAATTATAGCAGGTGTGTGAATTATAATGACATATCTTGTGCTGACTCAAATATTCACTAAAACATGCCCCCAAACATAGCATTCTGAGTTCATGAGGTGGGATTTCTTATGGAAACAGATAAGGAATTGAATTCTGCATTCCTGGTGGTCCACATGGGTAGAAGCAGATGTGGTACCATGGATGCAGAAGCTGCTGATTTCCACAATACACTATACTAATGGCCTGGATTCATTTTCCCTGGTTGCCACAACAAAATGGTCTTCTCACAGTTTTGGAATCAGGAAGTTCAAAATCAAGATGTCAGCAGGACCACACTCCATATCACTGTCTATAAAAATCCTTCCTTTGCTTCTTCTAGTTTCTCATAATCCTTGATATTCTTTGACTTGTGGCTGCGATAGTCCAGTCTCTGCCTCCATGGGCACATGGATTTCATGTGTCCCCAATCTCCCTCTCCTTAAAAGGACACCAAAAATGAGATGTGGGGCTCACCCCAACTCAGTATGACCTCACCTGAACTTCCAAACCCTATTTCCAAATAAAGTCATCATTTTCATAGGGACCAGAGATCTAAATTAGAACATATTTTTTTGGAGGACACACATCAATCCAAAGGTGGATCTAAATTTTCCTTGAATAGTTTGTCTATGGTTTATTATCTATGAGAAGCTCAAAGCAACTACATGATCATGTTATTATAATTAATTACATTAATTATGATCATAGAAGAGAACTCATCTTCAGCTGTTATTTCCATATTCAAGTCTTTGACTCTTCTTTGTTGGTCCATAGGGGCAGGATTATCAAGGTAGGAAGATAGAACTAATGTATATTTGCAACTTCCCTATTTTGGCAGTATTCTAGAGGAGCATTTGGTAAGGTAAAGTGTGTTAGGGAAGAGCCAGGCTGCTCATAGGTACCCCATGAACACAGGACTTCTCGGGTATGGCTCTAGCACACAGTATACATGGGGACTTTCTCATTTCAGCTCATTTCTTGTCCCTGTTCCCCTCATATCCACAAGGTTTAGGTTTGCAGATCCCAAGTACAGTTAGCACTTTCTTTCTTCCTACACTACAAAACCTGCCTCAGTAATATACAATTTTAGGACATGTCATGGTTGATCTGACTTTTAGCTCCCAGGTGAGATTATTATAAATATTAAGACCTTCATAGAACACCAAATTTCGTATGTTGTTGGAGAACTCTAGGACTCTGGTCTTTCTCCTTGGCCTTAATCTCTTTCCTGGCTTTGGGAGAGTCTGACAAATTTCAAGTTATCTTAGACAGCTCATCACACTCCTTCCACTTTTCTTGCTGATACTCTTCACTCATCTCTTGCTCTTGGCCCCATTTATTTAGCCCAGCTTGTAACATTCTCAATGCTCCAGTGTCCTGCTGATTCAGCCTGTGCTATTGCCCTTACACACACACACACACACACAGAGAGAGAGAGAGAGAGAGAGAGAGAGAGAGAGAGAGAGAGAGAGAGAGAGAGAGAGAGAGAGAGAGAGAGAGAGAGAGAGAGAGAGAGAGAGAGAGAGAGATACCTCTACTGCATTGTGAGGGACGATGCCATGTTCCTCTCTGCATGGCTCATAACATCTATCACAGTCTTTCTTACATGTGGTAGTGAACTTCCATCTTTTCAGGACCTACACTCCCCTACCCACAGCATTCTACATGCAGTTAGCTCAACGAGAGGTGTGCATTCCACTTACAATACATTCAACTTCACAGGGGCAGTTGAAAGATGCTGTGAAAGATGAGCTGTGTGTTGACTGGGACAGTGTATTTTACTGGGAAGGGCATAAACTGTACTGAAGAAGTGGTGAGGAAAGAGAAATCACATGGCATGTGTCTGCCAGGAGAAAATCAGACTAAATGAAGGAACCCACATCCAGATCAATCTTAAAGTGCAGAGGCCTGGCTTCATCTACAAATAGCTGTTGCTAGCATAGTGAAGGTAGGAAATTCTACCCAAGCAGACTTCCCTTTCATAGCAGGCAGGGGTTCGTATGATTGCCATACTATGCTGCCATTCTTATGCTCTCTGACTGACTTCTTGCCTTGTGCCAGGTCTATCTGAAAAGGTGAACTTTTGAATCCAGGAGAGCAGTGAGGCTTCCACATAAATCTTTTATGCACTGTATCATTGACCAATAATTAGAAATGACAGAAACCTTGGCAACGAGATCAGCTGCTTCTAATTTATGGTTTTGTTCCCATTTTTCACAGTGCAAGGACCCCCTGCCCCCCTATTTTTCCAGGTTAATTGAACAATTTGGAAGAGAACGTGCCTACCTTTTCAAAGATGACCAATGTTTCCCCAAATATTTCCATCCCTTATTCTTCTCTGATTTGCACCTCATTTTCTCTAGAACAAACGGCATCTTGCATGCCAGTTGGACACTATAGCAGATTTGGTCCCAGAGTAGGTTCACATCTAGAGCACTGATGAAAGTCCAAGGGAAATTGACCTGCAAGAAGGATTTCTAAGACATGTGAAGTGAAACAATCTAAAGCTATATTATTACTATCACATAGTGGGAGATGTAAAAAATTAAAGCAAAATGGTCAAATCCAGATATACTATGTCTAGTATCCCCAGTCTTTCATCTCTGTGTCCGAGAGGGGGGGGGGCAGGAAGAGGAGAGGGGGGAGAAGAAAAGAGAGGAGGAAAATCAGAGAAAAAGAAGAGGACAGTGAAAAGGCAGAAGAAAGGAAGGAGAGAGAGAAAAAGGAAAGAGAGGAAGAGGCCCAAGGTAAATAAGGAGAATAAGGAAGTGAGTTAATTTTCAGTGACTTAAGACCAACTAGTTTTAATTTGATGTTTTCATCATCAGTGCCTTATAAGCATCACTATCATCTTTGTGAGAATTTACCCTCTGTCAACAGGAAATACCCCACACATCATCAGTGGGTCACTTGTAAGCATCTGTTGTAATAGCCGGAGCGCCTCTATTTTGTGTAAGTTTAACTGGACAATCATCTGGTTATAGGACGACCCCTAGGAAGGCAGGTCATGCTAATGAGATGGATGGAATACCTAGAGCGTTAATGAGATAGCGAGTTTTTCCTGCCTGGAATCCTGCCTACTAGCGCAGAACTTCCAAAGAGCCACAGTCACGTAGGTCTCTACATCTGTCTGCCTTTCTGAAAGGCGTAATTACCCTTTCTCTTCTTCATGCCTTTCTTACTACACATGCATTCTTTAAGCCTTTGGGCTGCCCCTACCATCTTCCTTCACCCAGCCATGTGGCTGCCAGTCAGCCACACCTCTGACTCCCTGGCCTTGTCCCCTCCATTCTCCTCCTCAAGGCAACTGCCAAGATTACTAGTTTGCCTGCTTTGCAGATTTTTCTAAAATTCAAATAAAATTGTAAAAGCTTAATTGGGCTGATCAGAACTTTTTGAGTCTGGGTAGTCTTTCCCAGTGATCCCGATCTCCATAACACTGTTATCCAATACCTATCAAAGTCCTGCAGTTAAGTGTTACTTAACCTTGAAAATAAAAGGATCACCCCAAGTCTTATGTGGCAGTCCTCATTTTGTTCTGACCTTGGCCCAGAAAGCAATAGCATCAAGAATCTCTAGATTTATTCTCCTGAGCTGTTGTTACGTGAGAAAGGTAACCTGTTGGCACTGAAATGTTCTTAAAAGTAAGTTGAGGGGAAGAACACGGTTCTTAGCACATAAGAACTTGCCACCTAGTTTCACACAGGCATGCGCTTGAGTAGCTTCTTAGCTTTGCTCATCTAAGGAGGGGATTAGCTGCTGCCTTGAGAAGTTCATTGTGTTCCTTGATCCTGGCAGTTTTTAACGCCCCTCCCCTCTTCTTCTTGTGTCCTATATCTGGGCAAACCAATAAGAACCCAATAGAGGGATGCTTTTGGAAGCCCAAAAGGACTTTCATATGAACATTTGAAAATTGCCCCGTTCTGACTTTTTTCTAGTTCCCCGTCTAGAACTTGTAATGCTAATTACTCTTGCCTTTACTTCTCCTTCACATCTCCTATTCATGATTCAAGGACTTTCTTTTCCCCTTAGAGACAATATTTGTGCAATTTGGGAGTCTTTTAGATAGACCCACTGAAGAGGGCACTCCAATTGCCTCACCCTGCATCCCTGTTCAGCATGGAAGAAGCCAGAGCAATAGGCATTCCTATTCCCTATTGACAATTTGGGTAACCCCTTCAGAGGATGGTGTGATAATAATAGGACGTAGGAATTGTCTAGGCAGTTAGGGTAAAAAGACCCCAAAGAAATGTAGCCAGTTTCTGGGCTAAAAGTCAAGATGTCCTTGGGCCTGTTAGCAACATACTCTGTTCCAAAGGCCAAAAATGTCAAAAGCATTTGGGAGCTTGTATCTAATCCTTAAAAGATTTTAGGGTTACCTCTTCAGAGGGGGGAATGTTGGAGGGGAGGGAGTGGGCATGGATTTGATCCAAACACCTTACATGCATGTATGAAATTCTC